CAACCTCGTATCCAGTGGGTACCGAGCGGGCTTCTTCTCCGGGGGTAAAGCGACAGAGGCGTGAAACTACCACTCACCTCCACTCCTCCATATGTCTTCATGTCACAAGTAAAAAGTAAAGTAAATCTATCCCTGTAACAGGCCGTGCAGGCCCATAGGGTTGTGAGACGTCGAGGCTCTCACATTTTCTAGACAATCGGCTCACAGATGGCGGTGAGGTTATCAGCGTTACGCGCTGGCCGCCCTTTACACCATTCCAGATGCTCATTTCTGTTAGAGGCTGAGTCGACCCCAGGGCCACAGTGCGGCTGGAGGGATTAGATCAATTGAAAAATCCAATGACCTCATCGGGAATCGAACCTGCGACCTTCCGGCTCGTAGTATTACTGCGCGCCCCCCTCTTTCATGTCAGTGCGTAACTAATTGAGCAAAGGGACAACTTCACGTTTCTGCAGTTTGCTGTTTGACCTGTGTTGTTCGTTTCCCCCCCCCCCGGCCTCTCTACTGATAAGCGTGGTCTGCCCCGTTCTGATAAACCGTTCCCGGCCTGGGGCTCCACCCCGTGCAGGGAAGGACTCACTTGCCACTGTGGATGTTGTCCTTGATGTTGGAGCCATCTGGCGGAAGGAAGACATCCAGTTCTGTAGCCTGAGGCATTGAGTTCGAGTCCTGTAACAAGAGAAGAAGATGCATGAAGGAATTTGCGTAACCTGAATCCGCCAAGAGGATCTGGGTTCGAATTTCAGTGGCACGAACTAGAACTGACTCTCTGAACATAGCTCGAGGTGCAGCGCTTCACAGGCCAGAGGTCCCACGTTCACATCTCGGCCCTGGACGCGACTGAATTCACTCAGATAATTCGTGACATGCCTCAGTCACCCAAGGCAAATACCCGTAAAGTACCACAAACAGGCCACGACCGATTCATTGCAGATCATTTCCAATATACTGTTCATGTATCATTAGGCTAACGGTATGACCCGGGCCCTCCGACGGTTAATTAAGATGTCCAGGATTTTAACAGTTAATTATCCTTGTACTACTTATTTTTTTTCCTTGTCACTACAGGCCCAGTGGACCTAGGCCTACCTCCATGAACTTATCCGTTCACTTCGGTTTTTCTAGATCTTACACGTTCGGTAGGACTCCTTGGGCGGGTGATCAGCTCGTCGCAAGGCCTCTACCTGTACACAAACACAGAAAAACGCACACACACAAACTAAACACCATTCCCTGAATGGGAATCGAACCCACGATCCCGGTTTCCAAGCGAGCGAAGACAGTACATGCCTTAGACCGCTCGGCTACCGTGACCGGCTGTACTACTAATAAGCAAATTTTTCCCCGAGGGAGACATTTATTTTGAAACAGCCTGTTGGCGTTACAGGGCACCATTGTTCGTTGTCGGAGAGAACAGAAACAGATTCAATAATTGGGGTGGTGGGGGTGGGGTTTTTTACGACGCCGTCCGTCGGTGTGTGAGACTATAGCGTCGAATAGTGGGATTTTTCGTGAATGATTAATTTGATTAATGATCTGCGACGACGTGGCCATCTTGCCTGAACGAGGCGCGAGGGAAAGTCAGTAAATAGGTCACAGACGGGAAGTAGAACAGCTGTAACGGACGGAAAGGCGAGACCACGCCAAGGGAACTGGAAACCGCAACGCAACCGCAACTTCCGAGAATTGTTATCAGAGTTGAACGCGCGGAACACAGTGGAGGAGCGCAAATTGAGGAAACGACAAGGCAACTCGGCAGGAGACAACAGAGCAAGCCAGTCTTCATGCAATTGCTTTGCAGAGTGGTTTCCTAGTGTCAGATGTTCTATAACTCGCTTCAGTCGTTCATTTGTTTCTTCAAGATGGCACAAAGGGTTGACGAAGCTTCTAATCTTGTGTTTGTACAGTTGATTGAGCAAGAGCCCGGTATATATGACAAACGTCACCCAGACTATGCTAGGCGGGACACAACGGATTCGGCTTGGGAAAGAATTTCTCATGAGACGAAGGAATCTGGTATGTATGTTTGTGTGTGTGTATTATATACTTATAATAGGATCCAAATAAAGAATATGTTTACAAAAGCGACCTGTGTGGTTTAGTGGTCAGCGTTCCTGGCTACAGATCCAGAGGTCCCGGTTAAATTCCAGGTGCTACCATTTTTTTTTCTCGGAGAAGTAGTGCGTCTGGAATGGGGTCCACTTAGCCTCGTGATAATTGAGGAGCTATTTCAAGGGAATAGCGGCTCCGGTCTATAAAACCGAAATTAACAGCCGTGGGGATTCGTTGCGTTGGCCACGTGACACCCTCTATCCGCAAAAGTTGGCATTAAACTTCGCCGACAAGCGGCGGTCGCTCGGTCTGTATAGTTCGCTTGCGGACTGAAATCTTGTTTGTCTGCTAAAGCAATGCAAACAGCTACTGCAATATGGCCGAGCTGCGTGATAAAAGTCAGCAGTTGGGTTAGTCCTCAATCTCCTGCAATTATCAGTTGAATTCAATTAATGTAACTCAACTGAGACGGAATTGCTCCTGCTGGTGTTAAGGAGTAACCAGGCAGCTGATTTCGCAGGCGCTGTGACCTCGAGAATCTTTACCTTCCATCATCATCATTTAAGATATGATGAATTGATTGATTTACTGCATGATTTTCAGTTCCTCCACAAAAGGGCCCTTCCCGGGTTCTGATGAAATTGTGGAGTACCACAGATGCTTTGATGATCGAATTCAGAGTTCCTTCTTGGCAGCAAAATGGTCCCTCATATACCTCGAATTTGGCATTTAGTGTACGAAATGCACACTGTACACTTTTTCGGGCACGAGAGAGTCTTCTAGGGTAAGGTCTCACGAAATTTATTTTCAATGGAAATGCTTCTTCTGCTACGAAGTAATAAGGGAAAGAAGAAAGCAGTCTTCTGGGATTTGGCACCGTGTATATGTGGTGTTAACCGACGTTTCGGAGGAACGTATTGCCTCCATCTTCAGGGTAGAAGGAAAAATATAAGAAATCCGCAAGCGAAGAGACCGGGAGAACCGGTAAAAGCAGACTCACGGTCTCTTCGCTTGCGGATTTCTTATATTTTTCCTTCTACCCTGAAGATGGAGGCGATACGTTCCTCCGAAACGTCGATTAACACCACATATACACGGTGCCAAATCCCAGAAGACTGCTTTCTTCATAGTCACAGCCGTGAAAGCCTCAAATCTTACATAATAGGAAAATGTAAGATTTGAGGTTTTTACGGCGGCCATTATGAAGAACGCCGTCTTCTGGGAAGTGGCATCGTGTAGATCTTGTGCGAACTAACGTTTCGGAGGTATGTATCGCCTCCATCTTCAGGGAGGAGGCGATACATTTCTCCGAAACGTTGGTTCAAACGTTTGTCGGCGAAGTTAGTGCCAACTTTTGCGGATAGAGGGTGTCACGTGGTCAGCGCAACGGATCCCCACGGCCGTTAATCTCGGTTTTCTAGACCGGAGCCTCTATAGCTCCTCAGTTATCCTCACGAGACTGAGTGTACCCCGTTCCAAAACCATTACTTCTCAGAAAAACTGATAGCGCCGGGAATCGAACCCGGGACCTCTGGATCTGTAGCAGGAACTTTGACCACTAGACCACCGATGCAGTCAAATGCCTGCAATAAGAAAACTAAAACTTGCCAGTCTCAATTTCTGCTTAACTGGTGCTTTATGTGTAGTTTGCTTTAAACCGTCTGAATTGTTTCACACTGGACGCTAGTCACACCCGTTTGTCTTCTTTCTAGTCACAGCTTGTAAGAAGAGATGGAAACACATAAGAACAGTATTCGTCCGCCATTTGCATGACGAGACATCTTCAGGGTCGTCTGCTACCAAAAAGCGTCAATATTATCTTCACGACGCACTGCAGTTCATGATTCCTCACATAACGAAAAACAGGCACCACGAAAGCAATATTGCAGCTCCACACACTGAAGAAGGCACAGCATTCTGTGGAGAAACCGAAGAAGAGGTTAAAGAAGCGTCGGGAAACATCACACCATCGAACAGTCCTACCGTGATACAAGCTTCTTGTCGTCAGAGCAATCGTGACGAATGTAAGCAGCCGTTACTTGGCAAACGACGTCGGCTAACCGCCTTGGATCAGGTTGATACGAGCTTCATGAACTACGTGAACCAAGACACGCAGTCGACAATTCCAGACCCAGATGCACAATTTTTACACAGCCTACTCCCAGACATGAAATTAATGACCCCTAAGCAGAAACGTGCTTTTAAAATTGGAGCTCTGAATTTAATGAATGAGATACTGGAAGATGCCGGAAGTGACCAGCAATCTTCCACGGATTAAGCGAAACATCCACTGTTTCTCTCTTCAAGAAGTAATTGGCACGCATGACAGATACTGATTGTAACTAACAGTGTAAAGCAGTGGTACTGTATTTTTTTTAGATATCTGCAGAATTTGTATATCGATAAAAAGATAAACTTTCCTTACGTGAGAGTAATCAGTAGTCATTCTTCTGCTGGCACGGCTGTACGAAATTTTGTATATTTTCTTCTAATTTGAGGTCCTACAACATCCGCTAATAAAGACAAATTTTCAATGATCATTCAATGATTTGAACAGTTCTGGATCCTGGTTAAGTTCTTTCGAAATAATATAAGTACCTGAGTTTAAATTGTCAAGGGAGAACGGATGCATCAAACATTTCATTTTCCCCTGTTCTCCTTTCTCACGCCGTCTCAACCACCGCCATGTTGTGACAGGATCAGTATTATCTTCCATTACAGAATAGAAGCCCACGAAATTAAAAATTACAGTCACGCATTACTTCGGACGAACACACCCACTCGAGATGATGTGAGCAAATAACCAAACATATGTTTCCTCAGTGTGAGCCTGCTAATCTGGTAACAAGTTGTCTGTTTCAAATCGGTGACGTTTCTCTGAAGTTGCGGTTGCCAGTTTCCTTTGTGTTCCCTCGTCATAATAGGTTTTCTATGTGTACCACTAGGTAGCAGCACAGTCCAGCTTTATGCCAGACTAGATAGCAGACGCGTATGCACATGTTCAGAGGCTGGTCTCAGTAGTCAAAATGGCGACCGTCTTTGATGAGTGTAATACCAAAGAAGAGCGTTCTGTTGCGCGTTTCTGTGGGTAAAAGAACTCAATGCAAAGAATATTAATAAAGAAACGTTTAGTGTTTACGGCGGGAAGTGCTTGCCGTGTAAAGCGGTTGACAACTGAGCCGAGAAACGTGGCAAACGTTCCGCTGGTGACGAAGAGGTTGAAATGGAGGTGCGGAAGTGGCTGAGACAACAGCCAAAAGACTTCTATGCTGCAGGTAGCGACGCACTGGTAAAGCGATGGGACAAGTGTATCAATGTTGGTGGAGGTTATGTCGAGAAATTCATTTTTTTTTTCGGGTTAAAATATCACATGTTTTACGTTTTATATCTATTTATGACCTGTTTATTGACTCTCCCTCGTACTATTCTAATATTTGCATGGAAGAAACAAAGAAAGCCACGAAGAATGTGTCATGGAAGTCGGTGTCCCGACCGAGATACGAAGCGAAACCCTCCTGAGCACAAGTCCAGACCGTTACCGCCACACCAACCACTGAGCTGTCCTACTCTTCATTTTAAAGAGAGACTCAGTATGTGTCCCATCCCTGCTTACCCCTTTCGTCCCTCCCATCAACGTATGTCCCACTTCTTCTTTCGAAAAACATGTTCACTGCAGTTGTCATTTTGCCCTGCGTGGCTAGCTTCCCATCGCGGCGGTCTGGGTTCGATTCCAGTTTAGGTTAAATGGAATTTGTAGTCGGAAAGGTGTCAGTAGAGCGGACTTACTCCAAGTAGTTCTGTTTCCCCTGCCAATTCTCATTCCACCGAGTGTCACACATTCATTAATCATCCTACCGTCGGCTTTATATAGCCTCGATGCTAACTTCTTTTTGGGGGGGGGAGAGTGAGTCCACTTGGTACGTCGGCTACTAACTGGCCTACTGTACCAGCCCCGGATGATAGATGATGAGTGTGGAGCAGTTATTGGAATCAGAATTGGCAGGGGAAACCGAAGTACTCGGTGCAAATCTGCACCAATGCTGCTTTATCCACCACAAATCCCACATGACCTGACTCCGGCTCGAACCCGGCGGCACGGCCTCGATATTAACTAAAAAAATTGCTTCTTTTTCTTCCAATATTTTTGTATTCGTATGAACATGTCCTTGTGATTACCGCTTAGAGAAACTTTATCTACCCCTGCTGAAGCAGCGTGGCTACAGATCAAATATTGTCTCGCACAGTCGGTCTGTTTGTTGGCGTCACGCGTTCACGTCAATCCACAGCTCCGTGGTGTGACGCAAAGCGAGGCACCGCGGCGCGTAAAATCATCATCACTAGCAAAACGGCCCTTTTTTTGGCCAAAGCTAGGTTTATAGCACAAATTTATACCCACTTTTCTATCCTAGTTCCACGCCTGTGCGTGCTCTGTCACAATTTTTGTTGCATATTTTCTTGTTATATCTCGCCCAATTGGTCTGCTGTCAGGTAATTACATAGCTGTAGTGAAACTGACCGGAGCTGTCTAAGGGGCCCAGCTGAGTGTCTTCCCCTTCTCACCTGAGGATAGAAACACATCCAGTTTCCGAAACGTCTTGTTTTATATATTCTAGAATACTGGACAATGGAATTGTCCAAAAACCCAGTAATTCTGAGTGTTAAACCATCGTTAGAACCCTTTAGGACAGGCATGTCAAACTCAACTTGTACAGAGGGCCACTTCAGCCCTATAAATAATAGTCCAGGGCCGCACTTCAAAATAGAAATATACATTAGATTTTGATACAAGGAAATTTAATTCAATTTATTATTTAGGAATAATTTCAATATAATTACCTAAAGTCACATATCTTACAGTTTTAAAAAGCAAGAGAATGCCATTTTTGACAAGTATCAAACAGCTTTTCAATATGTAAAAAGAGAGATTACACAAGAAATTATGTTAGAAATAGCAAAACACTGAATTTCCTGCAGCCTGCTAATTTATGTCTGCGTGAGACTTCTTGTCTTCTGGTCTGCTGGAAAATTGTCTTTACAAAAAATATTTCTACTAAAATTTTAATATTGATTTTAATATCAATTAGCTCTAAAAGTTGAGGGGCCGCATTTTGTGGCTATGGGGGCCGCATGTTTGACACGGCTGCTTTAGAAGATTCTTTGGACTTCCCAACAATATACTCATCGAATATTTCTTTTCCTTTTTTTCCACAGAGCAAGGTTGTCAGCCTTGCGTCCACCCCCCTCCCCCCTTGAGGACCAGGTCACCGTATGTTCCTCAGTGACCATATGGCACAGTTATAGCCCCAAGCACTGGCTTCCTTTCCGTCGTCTCAAACGATTCACAGGGCTACGGTGGAGGTATTCGACCCCGCCGCCACAAAGGGTTGTACCGCAAAATACATAGGGTTAATCCTTTAAAACTCAGCGGCAACTATGTATATGCACCACCCGTTTGAAAACTGTAAACACTGTGAATTTTTCTCACGCAGTGCTTTTATGTGCTTCGTATGATTCTCACAATAAAGAAAAACTAAATGGCTCGCACCTTGTGACTGGCAAAAATCGTGGGAATTGTTCTACACAGTGTTGATGCCTCATGGCAACTGTACTGATAAGTACAGCTAGACTGCAAACAATAAACTGTCATTATTAACCTACACAGAATTAACCGGTTGGTTCTTTAATGGAGACGTAACGTGTTCCCTGTGAGGTACGAACTGAATGCTCATATATTTACCATACTACGGGCCATCTCGACACACAGAGGAGTTCCGCGGCTCCTAGTGACGTGAAGCAGTAAAAAGTGGTCTTGAATCCCGCAGGACTCGGAACCAAGAGTGACTGTGCTGGCGAGGCAAGCAGTAATGTACCCAACCGATCATCTGGACACAAGCTTTCTTGGTTTTCCCCTTTCTTCACGCAAATGCTGAGGTGGTTCGCAGGTTCCAAGTTACTTCTTATGCAGACTTCTCGATTTCAATTCTTCAAAATCGAAACGCCTTGTTATGGAGGCTCCCGAGTTCCCTCTCCAAATTATCCAACTCTCAGGTAACCAGAAAATAAATATTAATGGTTCATTGTTTACAGGGGTTCATGAAACTTGATATCTAACATGAATCAACAAATTTCTTCATGAACACCCAGGCTAGCGAGCATTGCTCAGGTCCTGGACAATTTCCATGCTTGAAATTGATATACTATATACCTATGAGCTTGGTGAGTCCCCTGATGTCTCTGTCTCCTCAGACACGAAAGTATTTCAAACGAAAACCGACCGCACGTGTAACAGATATCAGGCACAGCTCTGGAGGTGACTTGGGACTGTTTACGACGTGGATAAATCACGAGATATTTGAGATAAACGGTCGGCAAACTGTATGTTATCCCCAGACACTTTCTGGTGCCTCACATGAAGGACACACGTTAGGTTACGTAACCTCTCGCGCACTTGTATGATCAGCAAATAAATTCTCTTGAAAGCAACCTTGTTCTGATCAGTTGCATAGTCCACGATACCTGGCAATGTCACACTGAGAAGATCTGCTGCATATGGCGTACATGGATGGATATTAAATATACTGTGGACTGGATTCATCTGGCTCAGGATAAGGCTCTTATGAACATGGTAATGAACCTTCAGGTCCCATAAAATTATGGAAATTTCCTAAGTAGCTGAGCAACTACTGGTTTCTCAAAAATTACTCTGCTGCGAAAGGATAGCCACTCACAAAACTCGTGACTAAGCTTCACAGATTACCGTCACACACAGACTAGTGTCCTCAGTCTATTACCGCCTCCACTAGCCGTTGCCTTGTGACGGCTTCCAACGGCGGGCGTTCCCCTCACTCCGGGTTCCCGAACTGTCTCCCTACCTCAGTTAGCAGCTCACAATGACTGAACTAACTCCCAGGCTGGCAGCCATCTGACACCAATCTTCTGATCTTCTCTTCACAGACTAACCAACAGTCTCTTCTCTCTTCAGGGTTGAAACAATAAAATGACCTCATCGGGACTCGAACCCGTGACCTTCCGGCTTGCAGCGTAGTGCCTCAACCAACTACGCTATCGCGTGTCTCGGACAGCATTTTATGCAGAGTAGTGACCGAAATCAGTCACACAATTTGTCTGTCTCGCTTGTGAACACATTTGATATGGATGGCATTTTCCAGCACGCGACTAACCTTACACAGACCTCGTAGCGGGAGAGACTTGTAATGAATTCGCTTAGTCATTCTACGTCACCATCGCATCGAGCCGAACTTTATGTAACCCAATCGATTTATCGCCCACGGGTTGATAAACCTGCGAGAGATTTGGGTGAGGTCACATATTGACGGTGATTAGGCAGTATGACAGTACAGCACTCCTCGGGGCAAGAGGCGTTCGTGTTGGAGATTACGTAACATTCTTGTGCGTAGGTGCAAAGAGGACAGAACGTGAAAACTTTCTACACTCGTTGGAGATTATTTTCATCTTGTTCTACTAGCGACCGCGTCATACAGTCACAGTCTGATACGAACCAGAAGCAGACCTCCCATCCCTCGTCAGGGTCAACAATACGCCGTTAAACAATTCGTTTCTTGTTACAATTGAATGCCCCTGAAGATGGTACAAAAGTGGCCGAAATGCGCGGGCTTCACGATTATTTGTTAATGAGAACCGATTGCACTAGATCATGCTAATGCTACACGGACCGCATAGAAAACGACGCCTCCAAAAATTCTTTGTTGCAGTGGGAACGTCTTAACCGAGTTGTTACCTAGTAACGATTGGGGGGATACACAAACACACAAGTACAACAATTATTCTATTATCGCGTGCATTCGTTGGCAAGGGAATGTGTTTAAGGAGTCGTTACATAAAAATGAAAGGAAGGATACATTTTACCGAGCCGTTGCCTAGCAACGATAGGCGGGATACACATACACACAGGCAGATGAGAGGGATTTATGAAGTACGCAGTTGAGGCGGGCTCAGGTGCCATGATATACATACCAAATTTCATAAAGATTGGTTCAGGCACTCAAAAGTTTATAGGGGGGGGGGGACACACACAGACAGAGAAGCTGGGAACTCATAAGCCTACTTTCTTTTTTTTTGAAATGAGGAAGGTAGGCTAACAATAAAAGGTTTATGAGATCGTCTTGCTGTCTGTATCTGTACCTCCATATTGTTGCTAGAAACGGCTTGGCAAACGCGTTCTAGCAGCAACCAATGCACACGCAACAATAGAAGAGTTGTGGAACGCGTCGTTTTCGAGTACGGAGTAGAGCTCATAATGCGTTTGGGTGTTCTGTATTCGGCCCGTGTTAGAAAACACGAAACTCTATCGCAATGTTGGATTTGGGCTTCTTATAGCGATAACTATGAGTAGCACAGTCTTCTGGGTTTTGACGCAGTGTAGTTTGGTATAAATTCACCGACGTTTCGGCGGAACATACTGTGTCCATCTTCAGAGTCGGACAGTCGGCAAAAAAAAAAAAAGCAAGGGGAGAGGGTGATGCTCCTGTGAGCATGATAATGAATCTGAAGAGCTGACGAACTGTCAGCTTATCAAGGAGTTTATGTCCATTCGAACAAACACTTGTTCCCTGAATGCAGTCAACAGTTCAGACCCTGGTCCCAGAAAATGGTTGTTCAAATAATTACGCATTTTCTGTGAAAAAGATGCAGCAAGTTGCTCCTAAACGACGGTACCTATATTAGGCCCTACCAAACAACACGGTGTCACACAGCAGATCACATTCTTCATATTCACGGCCGTGGGATGTTTCACTGATTGATTCAAAGTCACAAAATTCTCCTCCTTTTATGGAATCGTTAGGTTCATGACCGTCTTCACAAGAACTCGTTACTGATCCCTGTCGTGAACCACTAAAATCGCCAGATCCCAAATCAGTTCAATCCAATTGCAATCCTTGTCATATAATCTCATAAGATGCATTTTAATATTGTGACATGACGCCTGAAAGCCGGAATATGACCGTCTGCTGGGCAACGCGTCTACCGCCTTTGTGGTTCTTGGCTTCCTTCAAAGAGAAGAAATAAAAAGGACACGAACCAATTTGGTCTAACATTTTTAACAAAATCTTCTTAAACATACTAAGTGTAATTTATAAATATTTTAACGCATTAGTAAAAGCCGCTGTAGTTGTTAAAATATTAGATTTTGTATTCATTGTATTGTGATGTCTATGTACGTGTATATATTAATATTCAGAAAATATATTGTAATAGTGTTTTTTTAATGCTAGTGGGGTGGGACTAAGTCCCTTGTACTGCGGCCACTTCTGGCCTATTGAACCAGCCCAAATGATAGGTGAGGGTGATTGTGGAGCAGTTGGGGGCATGAAGATTGGCGGGGGAAACGGAAGTACTCGGAGAAAACCTGCCCCAGCGCCACTTTGTCCACCACAAATCCCACTTCACCAGACCCCGGGCCTCCGCAGTGGGAAGCCAGCGACTAACCGCTTGAGCTATGGCGTGGCCCTGTTGGGTCCCTTAGAAATTGTAATAGTGGTTTCTAATTGTATTGATATCCTTCTGAAGATGGTCTAAGGCGGAAATATGTTAAGTATTGAAAAGGAGAAAAAAAACTCCCATCGGTCACACTGGACGGAATTAATTAGCCTTTTATAATACTGTTAGTGTAACGGACCACGATGGACCAAATCAAAAATAAAACATGTTATTTTGACGGTATAACCGGGAAAGTAAGGTCCACCAACGCCCTCACCAAGTAATTCTCTCAGTTCCCTTGCCTGAAATCTACACACGATTATAAGAGAAAGCGTTCAGAAGTGCTGATGTACTAGTAGCTGATGACGTCGCACGGAAATTTGCTGTGTCATGAGGCGTCTGTTTTGCTTGCCTCATATAAACACGCCGCTGTGAATGTACAGTAAACCCTCGCTAATCCGGTCACAGTTAATCCGAATCGAAATATGAAAAGTTCAGTTCACAGTTGAGTGCGTGGGACTTAGGAGCAAGAGGACTTTCAGACTGTGTTGAGGGCAGCTGGAGAGACTGAAACCGCGCAAGGGAATATCCAAGATTGACTTCAGCTGGCTGAAGGAGACCCTGCATTTCAGCTTCTGACAGGGCAACAGAACTTTCAGACTGTGTTGAGGGCAGCTGGAGAGACTGAAACCACGCAAGAAAATATCTGTAATTATGTATTTCAGCACCCTGTTGCACGTCTATGTATTTAGTCCGTCAGTAATGCGACAGTCATTAAAATATTCACCATTCAACAGCAACACGACATGTTTCGGCCTACAGACGGCCATCCTCAGGTGTTTCGATGCGTCTAAACTGTTACACTGTTTTGATGCGCGCTAAAATTGCGCGTTGCAGTCCACTTAAATTAAAATCTTTCGTAAAATCATAACCACCTCGTAAGTAGACTGCAACATGTCGTGTTGGTGTTGAATGGTGAATATTTTAATGATTGTTGCATTGTTGGCGGACTAGATACATAGACGTTTAATCCAAGATTGGCTTCAGCTGGCTGAAGGAGACCCTGCATTTCAGCTTCTGACAGAGGAAGAAATTGCTGCAGTGATCAGAAACTCAGTAATTCTGAATACTTTTTGCCCCTTGTGAATCATAACCGACAGCGCTGCTCTCCCTTTTGTCGAGAAGTTCACGCCTTTCATTTTCGTACAGCTGCAGAGCTCCATGGAGCGTTTCTTTCTAACCAGACAAGTCACGGTCTGTTTCAGTCATTGGCCGCCGCCCCTTCCACCACAGGTTGCTTTCAGAATTCTGATAACTTTCACTGCACTTTTTACCGTTCTTTTCCTTTCGTCATTTTGTTTTTTTTGGTTATAAAAGCATTCTTCTACCATCTTATAACTGTTACCATATAATGAAACAAAATGGCTCTTAATATATTAGAAACAGAACATTCAAAATTGCCACTGGATACGATCTTGAGCCAGTTCCATCCACCTCCCATCCTCACAGCATGTGTCTACGGATGGTAGTCAGTGCTAAGTAACGGCGGTGTCAGAACTGACAGCCAGTGTCAATGTCCCCTGTTAACACGTGGGCACAAATTTCATTGACGGGTCTACTTGCGCTGCGAAACGCACGTCATCTGTCAGCGATTCATTAAACTAATGGGATAACTGGCCCAAGGTAAACAGTGTCTGAATGAACGGGCCCTACAGCTAAAATATCTTCGTGGGCTGACAACAAATTCGACCAAAACTTAATCTGTCTGGGAAATAATCTCTGTTTATTGTGAGAATCATAGGAACATATAAATACACTGTGTGGGCGGAATGCAGAGACTTTATATATAAGAATGCAGACCGTACCTCACAGGAAACACATTACGTCTCCGCTACAGAGACCAACCGGTTAATGCTGTTTGGGGAAACTGTGGCTGTTTATTGTGAGAACCATATGGAAAACACAAATACACTGTTTTCGAAATGCTGAGGTTTCCAGTATAAAAGCAGGTGGTATATACGTATAATAACCACTGTGCTTTGATGAGCCAAAATTGCAAAGCCCAGTGAGATGAAAAAGTATGTAAAAGGACTTACCACTTTCTCTAATGACATGCTGGATGTGTCAGTTGCGCTGATAGGAATATGTGGTCACTGCACGAAGACGTCCAGAAGAAATGAATACAGGACACACACAAACACACAAGGGAGTTGAACTATGCTCTCGTGTCGTCACTGTTGGCAAACAGAATATTGGCTCTCACTATCATCTGTTAGGAAAGTAAATGCTTCCACATGGAAGTGAATAACAATATAGTGCAGACACTATCTAAAACATATGGAACGAAAGAAAAATACGTAAATTAATATGCCAAGAAATATCTTCACATTTTTAAAATTTAGATAAATATATAACGGTTCAGGGTTAAGTTTTTGTGGCCAGAATGGTACTGTTCTAGTCTGATGACAGGCAGACAGACGGTGGGAACTAAACAACGTTAAGCGAATTGTTCCAAATCACACAGGGCCCAGCAGGTGATAATACAAAATTATGGTATTCAAAAACACTACGCAGTTCAAATTATCTTCACGACTAATTCAATCTTGACGGCCTTCAACGACTTTATAAGTGTTATAAGCACCTCTAACGAAATGTAAACATAGGAAAACCGAGTCTGCATTAAACGGAAACTGCGTAACGCGGAAACAAGACAGCAGACTCCATTTACTTGCCTACCCGTCAATTCTCTCCGCAGTTACAACATCCAGCATTGAAAAGAATGCAAAATACAGGCCCCAGGCGTCCAGCAATTCTTTTATTGTTGTGTGTACTCAATCCAGCATGAACGTGTTTGCCGAGTAGTGGACTAGCAACAGAGCTGTTGCCTAGCAACAACAGGGGAGGGGTACACATACGTGCACACAGGGAAAGCAGGCTAACGACAGAGGAACTACTGGAGGCGGTGATTTCTCTGCGGTCCGACCCGAAGTTACCATTGAGTTTGAAGGCCTAATTACGGAGCCGTTGCCTAGATATGGTCGTCACCTCGGCGCTTCTCTAACTGCACTATTCCGGCTTTCAGGCGTCATGTCACATATATTGTAATGATCGTCTCCTCTGGATCCGATAGTCAGGCTTTCAGGAGTTAGAGAGGATACGCAGACACAGACAGCAAGATGATCTCATGAGCCTCCTTTATTTTCTTTTTCAAATTAAGGGAAGTAGGCTAAAAATGACAGCAGACGACAGAGAGACTATTGTTGGCATAATTAGTACCGTTTGCAACTTGCCCGTGCATGTTTCTGTCGGCAAACCGCAGTACCGTAAGGTCACGCAGCACCATTATAATTCTAGTATACAGTTTAATGTAAGGCACACTCAGCAGCTGAGAAGTGCCGGAAGTGGAAGAGATATGCAAGGGCTTGCAGTAGAGAAGACGGACGGTCTCCACGTCTTGCTTATGCAGAGACATTCCTCGTTGTTGGAGCCTTATCAAGTCTCACAATAAAGCAGCCATTTTCTATCATTCCCATTACTATTTCGTTAGAGGGTCTAATGTTATCTAACGCTTCCCGTACCGTTGATAACAAAAGAAAGACGCATTCTTAATAAATAAGAGTCGTCATATTCCAGGCTTATCTTCACGCAATTATGTAATACGTTGCGTAGCAACTTACAGTATTTGTTTACAGTCTCAGACAATGACGTGTGACATAACGCATATTCAGTGCTAAACTTTGCTCTCATTTGCCGTTTGTGCTGCAATATAGCCTAGAAGATTGTTATTATGTCCCATGCTGTGTCAAGAAATATCTCTGATGTTGCGTAAACAAAACACTGATGTAAATCGTTACGTCATCAGCAGAAAACTGCTGGGTTATGTTTCCAAAATATGATTGGGAACCAAACCCGCCATACCGGTGCTCTCGTTGAACATACAGAACTTAGAACTCACACTGAACCCAGCTTGTTCCGTATTGCACCCTCCGGGTATCGAACCACGATTCTTCTGTCGTCTACACCTAGCCTGGGCACTATACCAACTGAACTGCGCAGTGCCACGCTCCACAGTGGAACCGGGGGAAAACACGAGTGCCCGTCCATGTTAGGGAACCAAGTTCCTGCGTCTTCCCCGCAACACCGACGCGCGGCAAGTGCCAACCCCCCTCCCCCGTGGAAGTACCGAGTTCAATGTCCGTGTGAGGCCAGACAACACAAAGCTTTGTGTTCCCTCCCCTCCTGCTCTAAGCTTGACCCAGACGGCCAGCGCTTTGTGATGACTTCAGGGCCGACGCAGCCGTAACGCTCCAGACCCGTACTCGAGGGGTGATCGGTTTGAATCTCGGCGGGAACAGCTGCTATCCTGACGGATCCGCGATTTTCTCACTTCCTGCAGGTAAATGACGGGATTGTACATTAAATTAGGCCACAACCTCTTCCCTCCAGTGGAACTGCGGTCGGTGCTCAGTCGGTGTAGCGACTGGCTACGGGCTGGACGACCGAAGGATCGGAGTTCGAGTCCCGGGAGGGTTAAGAATTTTTCTCTTCCACATGTCGTCGAGGCCGGTTCTGGGGCCCACCGAGCCTATCCAATGTGTACCGGGGCTCATTTCCTAGGGGTAAAGCGACTGGGGCGTGACGCTGACTTCCAACTAATGCCGATGTAAAACACGTGGATATAAACATCCACTCCCCCATACGTCTTCACGGCGTAGTGCTTAATTACTTAAACACAGGAACAACCTTACCATTACATTATCGCTTCCTTCCACATCCCTTCCAATTCATTATTCACTATAATCCTACCATCCGACGCCCCAGTCTGACAGTGTCGCTATATAACAGTCTGTCCATTCACTTAAGCACCGCGCAATGAAAGCATATGGGGGAGTGGAGTTATAGCTCTACGCATTCTTAACCTCGGCAGTAGATGGAGGTGATATGTAGGCGCCTTTCGTTAGTACTCTGTCTTCCATTTTCCAGCCTGCGTCGCCCTCTTCTTCCTCTTCTTCTTCGTCGTCGTCTTCTTCTCCTCCTCCTCCTGTCCCTCCTCCTCCTTCTTCCCCCCTACAAGCTTATATACAGGGTGTTTCACGACTTTAGGGCATAACTGCAGGAGGTGACTTCCTAGGTCTTTGTGATCAAAAAAGTTTATATAAACACGTGTCCAAATTTTGACGGTCACGGAGTTATGACCGTTTTAAACTCAGAATAGAAGGTAACGATTACTGACAATAAACGGAACAAAATAATAAACCAGCATAATACATGTTGCATTTAAAGTATGAATGTAAAGTTAACTTCGTGAAATTACCTTTAACTTGAATTTATTGGTGCTTAAAGCTGATTTTCGAAAATGCCACCGCCGGCCGCAACACAGGCTGCCACTCGGTTGTGAACCAACCCATCACGCCTTAGGTACCTCTCAAGTGTCGAGATAACGAGAACGCTCTGTCTGTAGCTGGCTAAAATTAGCGATCCGCCAGCTGACAGACGCGGTTCACACGAGGGCGTGTACAGGAATGAAAAAACGGTCATAACTCCGTAACCGTCCAAAATCGGACACACGTTCATATGAACTTTTTTGATCACAAAGTCCTAGGAAATCACATCCTGCAGTTATGCCCTAAAGTCGTAAAACGCCCTGTATACAATATATTGTCACGTGTTGGGTATGTCACGCGACAAATAACTTTACGTGGGTCTCGGATTTAGCGAATCTTTATTGGACACTCACACTTACACACCTTACAATTATTACTCTTGCAGTGTCACTTGACTTCTGGCCCAGTACTCCAATGTGACGTCTCAACTATCCTTTGCCGTGGTTGGATCTCAACTGTCTTCAGCGGCGGGTTTCGTTTCTACTGTCCGCTGTTACGTAACGGTCGCAACGAACTCTCTGTAGTTCATTTCTGGGGAGACGCGTTCGTTGCTTCGGGAACGCTCTTCACAGATTACACCGGTAACGTGTTTCGTCTCATCTGTTGTTACTTAACGAAAATTCGTTGCTACAATTTGTCGCTGCGGGAGCTCCACAATTTCCATTGTAGCCGTTGCGCGGCGATGGACGTATGGTAACGCGTCACAGTGTAGTCCATCCACGTGACTCTCACGCCCTTCTCAAAATCTTCCTTTGCTGTTACTCTTTGTTCTCTTTATTGTCTTTTTGATTTCGTCTCCTTCATTCCTTTCTTCGTCTCTTACTTTCCTTGTTTCTTTCTCCATCACTTTCATCTCTTGTCTCCTCCTTCTCTTCTTCAGTTTCTTAAGACTTCATCCCCCTTTCCCCCTCCATATTTTATATTGTTCTCTTCCTCCTTCAGTAGTATCCTACCCGTTATCCTCCCACGGCGAGAAGGCGAGATAATTACCTACGTCCGTCCACGTGTACTGCATAGGCTGAATATATGACGCACTGCCCACCCCCGGCAAGGTCATCATGGTTTAGTGCTTAAGCAAGCAAGCACAGGGCAGACTTAACCTTTTATTATGCACTGTAGCTGAGCGTGCTCCCACATGGACAGTAAAATGGAGGCCAGCCACTTTTATCGCCCACTTGCCTCGCCTTCTCTTCGCTGGGACGGCAGTAATTATGTGTTAGGGCCATGATACGAGGTTGAAATCACCGATTTTCACAGTTCTTACATCTCGTAACTGAAACCGGTATTTCTCGGAGCCTGCGCTTGCGCAGGTCCCACGGTATCACGCGGGTGTGTCCGCAATCGATATCTGGGATTCCCCTGCTTAGTCATACGAGATCCGAAATCTGTACAAGATGGTGATTTCCTTTTCTGGGCGCATTCGCAACCCTGAGGAGCGCCCATTGTTATAAGCTCGAGCCAAGAGTCTAATTCCTTATGATATAATTACTTGTTGCTTATTTAACGACGCTGTTAATATCTCAGATTGCATAGCGTTGAACGGCGGGATGACAATGAATAACAAATAGCAGCAGTAGCACCTCCATCTGTGAGCCGACTGTCTAGAGAAAATGTGGGAGCCTCGACGTCTCACAACCCTATGGGCCTCCATGGTCTGTTACAGAGACAGCTTAGTAGTGAAGCCGCGATGGCTCAATCGATATAGCGACAGGCTAAGGGATAGACAGCCTGGGTTCGATTTCCGGAACGGAACAGGAATTTTTCTCTACTCCACAGCTCTGGGGTCCACCCAACCTATCCTATGATTATTGGAAGGGGGGGAGGCGAATTATTTCGGGGTAAACCGGCCG